ATGTGGAGTCTAGAAATGGTCTATATTTTGATGGAGTGGTGTTGACATAAATATATACATATATAAAAATTAACCCAGCTGTATAACATTTTACTCTGTTTATACTTCAATGAAAAAAAACTTTGCTTATGGTAGTGCAGGCCTGTAGTTCCAGCTGCTCTGGAGGTTAGGGCAGGAGGGTCACTTGAGCCCTGTTCTGGGCTGTAGTGCACTATGCCAGTTAGGTCTGCACTAAGTTCATCAATGTAGTGACCTCCCAAGATCAGGGGACCCCACCACGGTGCCTACTGGCCCACATTAGAAACAGCACATCAGAATTCCCGTGCTGATCAGTAAGGGATCATGCCTGTGAATAGCCACTGACTTCCATCCTGGGTAACATAGTGAGACCCTGTGTTTAAAAGAAAAAATTAAAAAGCTGTCATTCTCATAAAGTAACAGTCAGTGTTTTGAATGAGCATGGATTACTTACTGATGATCTGGTGGAGGATAGTTTTTAAAAAGTTAGTCAACAGAATGGACAATTCACATGATTATTCTATGTAATAGGGCCCTGTTGAATCCTTGTGAATGAATATTTAAGTACCCATATAAACCATGTTTTATCGATTTAAGATAAGCAAAAGTAATTTACTCAATATGAATTTATGAGATACTGATTTATTCATATTATCTACTAATTAATAAAAATCATTTAGCACATTTTGAAATTTCATATTCCTACTTGCCTCTTAGGTGTTGTTTTAATAGGTTTAAGCCTTTTTTTTTGTTTTCTTTTTTCTTTTTTTTGAGATAGTCTTGTTCTGTTGCCCCAGGTAGAGTACAGTGGTGTTATCATCCTAGCTCACTGCAACCTCAAAACTCCTGGATTCGCGGGATCCTTCTGCCTCAGCTTCCTAAGTAGCTAGGACTACAGGAGTCTGCCACAATGCCTGGCTAATTTTTCTGTATTCAGTAAAGTCATGGTCTCGCTCTTGCTCAGGCTGATCTCAAACTCCTGAGCTCAAGTGGTCCTCCCACCTTACCCTCCCAGAATGCTAGGATTATAGATGAGAGCCATTGTGCCTGGATGACTTAAGGTAATATTATAGCTTAATCCTGAATCCTACTAATCTCAGTGCAGTGTGGATCTAATCAGCACTTTGTGAAGAGTAAGTGGAAGAAAGGATTATTGTCAGTTGTATAATTTTTCACATTAAGTTTGGTTTTTAAAAATTAATGTAGGCTCGGTACCTGTAGCTCAGTGGTTAGGATGCCAGCCACGTGCACTGGGGCTGGTGAGTTCGAACCCAGCCCCAGCCACATAAACAACATTGACAACAACAACAACAAAAAAGTAGCCGGGTGTTCTAGCAGCTGTCTGTAGTCCCAACTACTTGGGGGGCTAAGGCAAGAGAATCTCTTCAGCCTAAGAATTTGAGGTTGCTGTGAGCTGTGATGCTACAGCACTCTATTGAGGGTGACATAGTGAGACTGTCTCAAAAAAAATTAATGTAAATAAGTCTACAGTACCCACATTTTTTGTACCATCTAAGATACAGTTTCTGTGGTATTTAGGGTCAAAAGAATACATTTTGTTTTGATACTGATTTTTTTTTTTTGGAGACAGAGCCTCAAGCTATCCCCCTAGGTAGAGTGCTGTGGCATCATAGCTCACAGCAACCTCCAACTCCTGGGCTCAAGCGAGTCTCCTGCCTCAGCCTCCCAAGTAGCTGGGACCACAGGCACTCACCACAATGCCGGCCTATTTTTTGGTTGCAGCCATCATTGTTGTTTGGCAGGCCCAGGCTAGATTCCAACCTGCGACCTTAGGTGTATGTGGCTGGCGCCTTAGCCACTTGAGCCACAGGTGCCAAGCCTTGATAATCATTCTTAGTTTTGCAATTAGTTCTGAAATGTCATTTATCATTGATTCATGTCCAGTTTTTTAAAACTTGACATTTAAATTTATCTTTAGGCTCAGCACCTGTGGCTCAAGTGGCTAAGATGCCAGCCACATACACCAGAGCTGGCAGGTTCAAATGCAGCCCAGGCCTGTCAAACAACAATGATGGCTGCAACCAAAAAAATAAATAAATAAATAACGAGGTGTTGTGGTGGGCACCTGTAGTCCCAGCTCCTTGGGAGGCGGAGGCAGGGGAATCGCTTGAGCCCAAGAGTTGGAGGTTGCTGTGAGCTGTGATGCCATAGCACTCTACCCAGGGCAACAGCTTACGGCTCTGTCTCAATAAATAAATAAATAAATAAATTTATCTTTAGCCAGCTGATAATTTGATGTTTTATAAACACTACTCAAAACTTTTCATGAAAATTTTCAACTGGGCAGAAAATTGTACAACTACCTTCTTCTTTTTGAGATGGTTATGAATTGAATCTAAAGTTACAGCTCCAGATTTTTGTCTTTTTGCAATTTCAATAGTAGGCTGTCCTTTCTAATACATTCAACCTGATACATACAATCAGGTTCTAAATTTCTAATTCTTTCTCTAGTAACCCCACACGTCTATAGTTTGCAAGTGTCTTTACAATAGGAAGGTCCTGCAAATAGAGGATATGCAAAGTATTTATAGTAAAAATGTATGCATATACATACACAAAAAATAAACATTCTGTTTATCCATTCATCCTTCAGTGGAAACTTAGATTGCTTCCACCTTTTGGCTATTGTGAATAATTCTGCTTAACAACCTTTTGTTGTTGTTGTTGATAGTAGCTATCCTCCTGGATGTGAGAAATTATCTCATAAATGAGATAATGAGATGGTTTTGATTTCCATTTCCCTAGTGAAGAATGATGTTGAACATATGCTTATTGGCTTGTTGTATATCTTTTTTTGAAGAAATGCCTGTTGAAGTCCTTTTTTTGAGGAGGAGATATAGGGTCCTGCTCTATAGCCTAGTCTACAGTGTATTGGTGTCATCATAGGTCACTGCAACCTCAAACTCTTGGGCTCGATCAGTCACCCTGCTTGAGCCTCCTGAGCAGCTGGAACTATAGGTGTATACCATCACACTGGGCTGATTTTTTAATCTTCTATAGAGATAGGGTGTCATTGTGTTGTTTAGGCTGGTCTTGAATTCCTGTTCTCAAGTAATCCTCCCACTTTGGCCTCCCAAAGTGCCATGATTATAGGTGTAAGGCACCTGGCCCAGCTCCTTTTTTTTTTT